ATACAAACGGAGTCGAGCATATTCGCTCGCCAAATCAAAGCCACTTACGGGCACTCCTCGGGCCCGTGGCTTAGGCTAAATTCATGCAAGCATATGATTTCAAACAAGGGCAAAAATCCAAAATGTAAAACAACATTGATATAAATGCCCGAAGGCAACAAAACAATAGTAAACCGACCAAGAAGGCCGGCGATGTCCATAACATACAATAAACGGGCACGCAGGCCCAAAGAATACAAATATCAAGGGCACGCAGGCCCGCTATCCTACTCAGACTTCCACAGAATCATCATTGTCGGCGTTAGGAGAGTCGGGCGGAGGCACGATCACGCCATCTACAATCCGGTGTGTGTGACCGATACCCTCAGTGACAAGGCCAGGGTTTAGCAAGGAGAGTTGACCGACCGCAGAATTGAACCCGTCCTCCAGGGCACCGACGCAGTCCACCTCGAGGAGCCGGATGTGGGCGACCAGCTCCACCCGACTCTTCAAAGCTACTATGTCCTCGGGCTCATCTTCGGCAGGTTGCAGGGCAACATTCATTTCCTCGACCTGTTTACCCAAGCGTTCGACTTCGGCCGCCAGGCGATCCCTGTCTGCCCGAAGAAGCTCCCCTTCCTCAGTCAACTTCCCCGACTTCTCCTTCTCCAGGGTCAACATCTCCCTTTCAGCATCGAGCATCGCGGTCTGCTCTCGGAACATCCCCTCGGAGCGTTCCAGAGCGACCTTCAACTTCCGCGAGCTCGCGGTCAGCGCCGCCTTCTCCTGCTCGAGTTCTTCAACACGGGCAGCATCCCCTCCATCCTCAGATAGCACCAAAGCCATTTCGGCCATTTTGACCAGCCCATCCACGCTGGCGGCCAGATACGCCTTCCGTTCCTCTTTACTCATCTTTTTTATGGCGGCAGCTTCATGGGCAACCACTGTCGGAGGGAATCGCTCGAAAAAACCCGCCTCTTCGAAGCAAGGGGGGAAGGTGAATGATTTAACAGCACCAGCGTCCTCACCGACAGTCGGACCACCTTCCACACGGGTCCTCTTCTGCTGCATCAAAACGGCACTGGGGTCGATCTCCTCGACTTCTGGATCCGACGCGGGTCCCGAGCTCGACGGCGATTCCACCCTCGCAGACTGAGAAGCGTTTGGACTTTGTGACGGACCCATTCTCGTCGCCTGTGGGGGCTTCACGACCCTCCTGCCTCGCCTCTGGTCGCAGGATAATTTCAGGAGCCTTTCATGTCGGCTAGCCATCGTACCTGCACGAAATAAAGGAGAAGTCAGTATCGAGCAAACTTCACGAGTAAATGACGAATAAAGAATTTCAAGCAACAAACAACCTAACAGGCGGGCAGCCTGCCTGTATGTCGGGCACTCCACCAGCGCCTTGGTGTCAATCGGACGGGACTCGAACGTCGGGTAACCGTCTTTGTCCAGGATGTCATCCCCTTCTCGCGTAACCCATTGGGCGGGATGGAAACTGTCGACAAACCGACAAAGAGTGTCATACGCCCGCTCGTCTTCCGAGCACATGTCCCCGGCGGCGGTATGGTAATAACCGGTCCCATGCTCGTAATGCCGGGACATCCAGTACACCGGGATTTTAGCCCTACGACCCAACACAGGGCTCCCATCGTCGCCCATCATCGTTTCCCCATCATCGTCGCTCACCGGCCCCTCCTCCTCGAAAAGGGAATTTAAAGCAGCGTCGGTAACTGGCCGTACCACGTACCACTTGTCTTTAAACCCCCTCACGGAGTCCATATACATCTTAAAGAGCCTCCTCGACTGCTTCAGGGAGACCCAGCTATGTTTCCCTCCTCGGGACTGACGCTGCAGGTGAAATATCTGGAAGAAAAGCGGGATGGTCGCCCCGATCCTCAGGTATCGACACGTCAACTCAAACGCCCGGATGAAGGCGAGAGAGTTTGGGTGTAGCTGGGACGGGGCCAGCTCCAAGTGCATAAAGACCCCGGCCTGGAAATCAGTGAATGGCAGCCGCAGCCCTAGGTCTTTGAACGCGATCTCATACATCGCGAGGATGTAATTCGGATAAACCGAGCAAATCCTTGCACGGGTTGACGGAATCATGACTACGAAGTTTTGTTGGAAGTCGGGCTGGTCTTGACCCTCTTCAATGACAGCGAATGGATGTCGGTCATCCCGACGCTATCCCCCGCGGCTCGACGCCCACCCATTCCAGCAATGGGTCGGTCACGGTATCAATCAGGGTGACCGACTCGTCGGCACTCCGTTCTTCGCGGTCGCGGCGTCCGGAGGAGCTCGGCTCGTCCACCATGGTTACCTGCAGAGCACGGGAAACCAGTCAGTTGAGCACGAAGTCCTACGCTCGACAAAATCATGTCGTCCCATACACGAATACATAAGTCCTTTTCCCAAATGGTTGCCTCCCCGACGTCCTGAACCCGGTGTTCTTCCTCAAATCAACTGCGCGGCCACTCTGCAAGCATGTCGACCCGAGGTATGAACACGGCGAGCCGCACCATGAAGCCCACGGCCAAGACCATGAACATACCGGGCGCGATCATGAATCAGGCGCCCTGGATCATGAAGACTCCGGGCAGCCCTGAAGTTTATCACCTAAACTATGAACGTGCCGGCCACAAACATGCGTTTGCCGGTCCTAGGCATGAATGTGTCGGGCTAAACACGAGTTTAACGGGCTAATCCCACGCGCACGGTCCTAAAACATCTACAAACGCCAGAAATCATGCATTCTAAACGGAAAAATGAAGAAGATAGATCACTTACTTGGATCAAAGAGTGGGATTTGGCTACGAAATGGAAGAATCTGTGACGAGAAGTCGCAACTGGAGAAAGTCCGGAAGAGCAGCAGCAGAGAGAGCACAGAGAGCAGAAAACGTATTATGGGGCCCAAGGTTCCTATTTATAGTGATGACGTGGAATACCAAACGTCACCTCGGGCAACCACGGACTCCATCTCCTCGACGCGCTGCTCCCAACGCAATGATGGCCCTACCCCCATAGGGTGGCGGCACGGTTCCCGAAAGATACCTCGTGTGCTCGACCGACGCGCCCGGTAAGGATCCTCCGCGCATCCACCACCGAGGACGTCTCCGAGCATGACACGAGGAGGCCCCTCGAGGGCCCACACCTCTATCCCGGGCATGAGACCTCAACGAGGGAATAACTTGGGTTCAAGTCATGGCTCCTCGCAAAGGAACCACGACTTGGGGGGCTCCTGTTCTGGACTGGGCCCGACAGGCCCAAAGGCATTACTAAGGCCCAGTCCAAAGGGACTTACCGAGGACCACGCCGAGCAAATGGGTCACGTCCGTGCCCGACATCCTGATGTCCAGCTCGACATCCCACTGTCCAGCTCGACGTCCTGGCGTCCAGCACGACACCCTGCTGTCCAGCTCGACGTCCTGACGTCCAGCTCGACACCATGCTGTCCAGCTCGACGTTATCTCGGGCATTCCAGCTAGGACAGACTCAGTCCACCGTTCCCCCAACGATACTCCGGAAAGACCGCGTCTCCGTCCGCCCGCACTTCACGCAGAACATCCAGGAAGGGGACCACGTGCGGGTCCCCACTACCCACGTAGAACCTGGCAGTTCCTCCATTGGGCCAAATCCGCCCGGCCCAATGAAGGAACCTTGGCCCAGCGTTGGGGGCTATAAATACCCTCTGTTTCCAGAGGGTCAGGTATTCATCATTCTAACCTCAACTTACTATTATCTACTCGTACTCCTACTTACTTCAGCATCGGAGTGTCTTGCAGGTACCCCCCCCCACCTCGTTCAAAAAAGCTTTCTGCTCGGAGCCAGCCGTGACGGTCCATTTCTGATCAGGTCAGATCAACTATCAATTTCAATACAAATTTATTGTCTAAGACCGATGTTTTCAGAATATTTTTTCAGAGATGTACTTATGAATATCCATAGAATTGTGCAAAAAATCTCTTACATCAACTCAAAATGCTTAAGAGGTTAGTGTAGAGACGCACTTACAAACTCACTCTGCAAAAAATACAAAGATGCATCTCTAATTTTTTTTTTGTTGCAAAAATGAGATGAATGACTCACTTATGAAAAACAAGTGTATAATAATAAAGATGCATCCGGAGTATGCATTTTCGGAATTTGACAAGAATATTTTTAAATTTTCAAAAGGTGATTCTTTACACCATGGGGTGGGAAAAGTAAGGTCCTTCCAAAATAATGAGCTGCCTTATTATACAATCGACCGACATGAATAATGGACAATACTTACTGAGATGCCTGTGAGAATTTAACTTGACACCCCTAATATTTTTATAATGACAAAAATATCCATGAACAAATTTGGAGGTGATAAAAACGAAATTTCTAATAGTTCATTTTTAAATTGCCAGCATGAATTTTTTTTAAATTTGTTTTTTTAATTATTTTTTTAACAATATCGGAAATTTCAAAATTTTCGATAAATTTTAAAAAGTGTTGTAATTTATCAAAAAATTTCTGTAATATAATTTTTTGTTGTCGAATATGAATTATCAGATTTTTTGATAAATCCGATAATAATTTTTGAAAGTTTCAATTTTTTTTTTGAAATTTTCGATAAACGTGAAATGAAATTTCAATTTTTTTAAGAGCTTTAAAGTAAAACAACCATTATTGAGAGTGTCATATTCATTTTTTAAGGTGACAGATTAAATCCTTGAAGTTTGTAGTAGCAAGTTTAGAGAGGTTCAAAAAACAACGCCTATCCCTTTTGCTAATCAACATCTATTCCATCCAGGTGAACCGAAAATTTTACTCCATACCATTTATTAAAAAGTGAAATATAAATTAGTTAAAAACATAAAAGAATAAAGTTGATATATTTTATAAAACGTAAGGGGTATATGAGGTAAAATTTTGGAGGTGAACTGAACAAAGTTGTAACAACCTTCAAACCTTCAAACGCGCTTAATTTCAGCGAACTCAAATTCTCCCAAACGCGCGTCCTACAATCCAAAACCTCAATCATCAAAGACATGGAGGAAGCTGAAGAAGGAACAGAAACTGAACAACTCAGAACTATCACCTTCCAACGGTTAAAATCACACACGATGAACCTTCTCGAACTTTTGCAGAACCCTCACAATCAGAATCAGAAGCATTGTTCTGTTACTGTCATCCCCGAACTCCTTCGTTTCCTTCAGAATTGTTTGCCTTCTACTTTACAGCCATTCTTCGAGTAAGCTTTCTTGTATATATTCACCATTTGTTTGTTCGAGAAGAATCAAAAATCATTTAGCCCTAATTTAGAACAAGTCATATTAATTTGAGCTTGTGTTTTGATTGAGAATGAATTGATTCTGTAAAATTGATTTTAGCTAAAAGTGAATTTAAGGTAAAGTGATTTATTTTGGATAAATTTATCTTGAAGTGAGTTGAACAGTACATTTCAATGTATAAATTACGTTTTAAACTCAAAAGCTATAAATTCTAGTTTCAAGTAGAATCAATTCTGGAAGCGGAATCAATTCTACTTTAGAAGAACTAAACACCTCAAAACCATTCCTAAATCTATTTTACACCTCTAGAAATTCTTGACTCTTGCAAAAGCTAAATCAAACATATGCAAAGTCAAGTTTCAAGTTAAAATCAATTTTAAATGCAAAAATCAATTCTATTCTAGATCATTCAAACATGTCAAAAATCAATTTTGCATCTATGGAATCAATTTTTTATCATTCAAAAGTAAAAAGAAAGATACACCTAGCCTATGTTTGGTAACAGGTCACCGCCGCCTCATGTTTGGATATATTCACGTAAAAATGAGTTCAACAATAAATTTGAGTGTGTAAATCATGTTTGGAGTCAAATGCTATAATTTTCTAGATTCAAGATAGAATCAGTGTTGTCGATGGTGGTCCATGGCGGAGAGCCAAAATCTCGCCATACCGGTTGCTTTGCATTATAGCGGATTATGGTGGGAAAATCTGCAATATCGGCCAATATTTACCATTGCAGCGAGCCCAAAAACCACCATGCATATCAGCCATAGCGGCCATGGCGCTGCTATTTGATAACACTAGTTAGAATCAATTTTAGAGTCCTAATCAATTGCAGTTGACATCACCGGAACATGTTAGAATAAATTATGTGTCTTAAATCACATGTCTCTCTCCACCTTGTAACCAAACATACACTTCTCTTGAAATGAAAGAGTTAGGTGCCGTCTAAAGGTTTAATTCATTCACTGCATGACTGTGTAATTAGTTGACAGCAAGGAGTCAGTTTTCCCCCTATTTTTCTGCATCGTGGCTTGGAGTTTAATTATTGACGTTTCGAGATTTATTACGTTGTTTTTTATTTGATGCTTATTACTTCATCCTCACTTATGATGTTTATAATTTTTGGTTTTGTTTCAGCTATACTCTGTTTCCATTAGTTCTACTTCTTGATGCAGCAATTCAGTGCAGATCTACACAGAAATTTGATTCTCAGGATGCTTTTGATATTCCAAAAACACCGTTTAAAGTGAGTGATAGCGTTGCTGAAGGTATAGTTCATTGTTTGGAGGAACTTCTGAAGAAGTGTTGTTTGAATTCAGTGAATCAGGTAGGATGATTGATTTGTCCTTGATATTTGATACAATTTGCATTCAAATTATGGAATGTTGGGATTTATTGATTTGCTTGTTGTTGAATGAAATTAAATTGGCATGGTTAAGTGCACAGAATGTGTAACTTTAACTATACAATACTGCTTTCAACATTAGAAGTAGCGGACAAAAAGAAATGAATGAAAAAAAAAACTAGGGACCTTTGGAATATTGGGGATACTAGCTTGAAAGTACAGAAAATGATTCTTTTTTTAAGTGCTTTACTTAAACAATTTAAGTCGAAACACCATTGCACTATAACCCATCCATAGGGGTGAAAGTAGAAGATACAAAACTACTCTCAATATGTTCTAGTGTAAAACTTGGAACATGTGGAGATACCTTGTGCAATATTATTTGATGCAATTATACACAGTCAGCTCATGTTCATTTTGTTTGCCTTTGATTTCATTTCATTTATGTTACTGTTTTAACTCATCCATCATATATGCTCTTTAATATAATGGACTGTATGCTTATTTGCATACACTGATGTAAGCTTGCAAATCCTCAATACATGGTGTCACAATGGAATAGTATGTAGATGAAGGTGCCAAAACCATATGGTATATATACCTTGGTTATGGGGTACCCCTCATAAGCCATAACCAAATGTTTAAACTCAATTTTTTTGTACTTTAACAGATGGTTGTGATACTGAAAAAGTTAACGTACGGGGCTCTGCTGTCACCGTCTGAGGCTTCAGAGGAGTTTCGGGAAGGAATTTTGCTTTGTTTCAAGGCACTGCTTTTGAATTTAAATTCCTGTTCTGACACGTCATGCTCATGTAAAACAATTCCTGGTTTACCTGCACTCTCGGACGACATTTATGATCATAGACTTCATGAGAATTTCAAGAACGTTTCAGAATCAGAAGAATGCTTACTTGCATTTCTCCGATCCCAAACTGCGTCAGCTGCTGTAGGACACTGGATATCACTTCTTCTCAAAGTATGTGAATTTATTTAGTTGTTGAGTTTTCTTGGAGAAATTCTTCATTTTTTTATGGAGGTAGTGGGGCGGTGTAAATAATTAAGCTCTTTTAATAACTGTTAATGATCACATAATAAAATTACCAAAATTCATTTGAAGAATAAGTGACATTCTATTATAGAAGAAGACATCTTCAAGTAATCAAGACAGAGGTCTTTCTATTGAAAAGGACCTAACTGGGATTCTCCCTTTCTTGTTATGTCATTTCATGAAATTGTAATACCTATTTCTTACAAAAAAGGCTGCAGATACAGAGGCTGCAAGGGGACAACGTGGTTCTGCTAGAACTAGAATTGAAGCCTTCAAAACTTTGAGAGTGCTGGTTGCTAAGGTAATGTAATATAGTATAAGTTAAGCTCTTTGAAAAATTTATAGCAGTTATTTATTTTTTTTGCAAAAGAAAAATATTTCTAGAACTGAGTAGTTTATATACAAATAGAAAGCAGGGAAGGATATCCCTAGAAAAGACAGTAAAATTCTTCCGTCAAGATTTGAAAATATTTTTTATTATTTATAATCTTTTGCCTATTTTTGTGAAAATTTGCCTCTCCAATATTCTCTTGCATTTATGTGTTCTTTCATAAAATAAATTGAATAAATTGATTTGTGCTGGTTTGCTTTTGTAGGTTGGTTCTGCAGATGCATTAGCTTTCTTTTTACCTGGCATTGTTAGTAACTTATCTAAAGTTTTGCATGGTGCAAAAACAATGATAAGTGGGGCTGCCGGAAGTATGGAGGCTATTGGCCTAGCAATTAGAGGTTTGGCAGAGTTTCTTATGATAGTTCTCCGGGATGATGCTAATGCATCAGTCCTGGACATGGAAGTGTCTGCAAGCTTTGATCCAAACGAGTGTAAATCTACTCTTTCTCTTTTGGAGGAGCTTCGTCACTTGCAAGTTAAAGATTCTGTTAAAACAAAAGTTGTCGAAGATAGAATTGTCGAGTCAGAAAAGATACCCTGTTCCCAAACTCAATTCCAAGAAATGGGAAGCACTGCCCCCGATGGAGATACCTTGTCTTTGCATGTGACCCGAACAAAAGATTGGATCCAGAAGACAACAGCACATGTTAATAAGCTGCTGAGTGCAACTTTTCCACACGTATGTTCTTCTTGATGGTTAATTAAATTAGTTTCCTTGGATTTTCTTCAGCCTTCAGAGCTCTTTATTACCTCAATTCTGTGTTTATTTTAATTCTTCGATGTAATGATTTATGTGATCAGTGAAACCATTGAATTTCAGATCTGTATTCACTCTTCACAAAAAGTGAGAAAGGGACTTGTTGATGCTATAAAAGGACTCTTATTGGAGTGCTTCTACACACTGGGGGACAGTAGACTGATGCTTCTGGTGAGCTCTGAACTGGTTAACAAGAAATAATGTTTTTGCTATGTTTCTCTGTGGTGTCTTGTTGACATATTATAAAGAAAAATTGCCTATATAGTGTCCTTGCTAGCACTTAATACTGGGTTTGATATAAGCCTCAGTTGGTGAAGGTAAAGGGTTAGCTATATATAGCCGATGTCTCCTATTGTGTCTGTAACAACTCATTACTACCAAATCATAAATCAGATTGAATTCTAGAGCAATGATTTTATCTCTTCTCTCATAGTACTATAATTTTTTTTAATTCTAAAACATTTCACGGTCTTTTTGCTAGTTTTTCCGCTTTATTTTATCAAATATTAGTTTTTAGAGTATATTTATCCACTGTCATGTAATCCACACTTTAAATTGCTTTTTAAAATTTTTTCTTTTGCCTATAATTCAGGAATGCTTATGTGCTTTGGCTGTTGATGAATCTGATGACGTGTCTTCAACTGCACAAGATTTTCTAGAGTGTTTGTTCTCTCAGAGTTGGAAATCTTGTATAGAACATGATGCTGCTAAGATATTTATCAGGTTCATATTTTTTGGACAGAAATCACACACTACAGATGGTTGTCCCTTTATCTATGTCTTTGGTCATAATTGTTTCCTCTCTTAAATTCAGGCACCTGGAAAAGCTTCCCAAAGTGGTGCTTAGCAATGACGAGCCACTTGCTGTGTTACATGCTCAACAATTACTAACAATAATATTTTATTCTGGTCCTTGCCTATTGGTGAACCATCTTCAGTCGCCTGTATGTCCTTCTATAATAATTCTTCTGTTCTTACTCCGAGTGTGTGTAGATATCCTTAGATATGTATATCTTTGTATGGATTATGCGTTACAAATTGGCGTAAAGCAAGTTGAAATTGAAAGAGAAGATATATAATATCTTATATATAATATTAAAAAAAGAGTTGATTTTGCCAATATTTTTCTTAGTGGCTTTTAAAATATTATTATAAATATTTGTCAGCTAAAAATATATTATGTAAGCTATGCCCTCCTCAACTCAACTACAATTTGACTACGATTAAACCATTAAGCCTTTAACGAGTACCTTCATCGGTTCGACGACTGGTCTGACTTTTTTATCCTTGCTCATAACATTCAAAGCAGAGGCTAGATATAACATGTCTCTTTAAGTTTATGTTTTATGTTTTACACATCAGCGAACTCTTATCCTGTTTTTGTACATTGACATCAATTCTTATGCTTGAAAATGGTTAGTTAGGAGTAGCTAAGTTCCTGGATGTGTTTGCTGCTTGCCTAAGCCATAATTCAGTGTTCTCTGGTTCACTTGGGAAAATCACTTTAGCAAGTCAATCATCAACAGTAGGATACCTTCCCTCAGTTGCTGAGTTGAAATCTGGATCTAATTTCTTCAGTCATGGCCTTCCTCTTTTAAATTCTGGTGTTTGTGAAAACTCTAAGTGTGGCCTTATTGACAAAAAATATGTACAAGAACCTGACGAAACTGCACCAAAGAATTATGCACTTCCTCGTATGCCCCCGTGGTTCGGTTATGTTGGTAGTGTTAAACTATACCAGCCTCTTGCAAGGATTCTCCGACTTGTTGGTTTATCTATATTAGCAGGTGATTTCAAATTAAATGTTATTTTGCTCATGGTTCTCATAGTGTTTGTCTTTAACCTTCACTTTTGTTAACTTTGTATTGCTAGATCACAGTGGTGAAGGGCTTTTGTCACATTTGACGGAGACCCTTCTTGGTAACTTCCGTAAATTGGTTACTGAACTCCGTTTAAAAGAATACAACAATGAAAGCTGGCAGTCATGGTACGAAAGGACTGGTTCTGGACAATTATTGCGGCAAGCAAGCACAGCTGCATGTATGATAAATGAGATGATATTTGGCCTATCAGATAAAGCAATTAATGATTTTGCTAGAATATTTCATAGGTCTCCTTTAAGTAAAGAAGTTCTGGTTCAGTCTTACAAGCTTGATTGTGCTGTTCATGAATCTTTCTGGAAGATGCCAAAGGATACATCTGTGAAAAGCCATTTAGTTGATTGCATCGGTGGGATCTTACACGAGTATTTATCTACTGAGGTGTGGAGTGTTCCTGTTGATCGCAGAGTTGCTGACTTGCAGCTTAATGTTTCAGATGAAGATATTAGTCTATACTTTTTCCAAGATGCTGCAATGCTACACGAGGAAAGATACTGTTTGCTAAGCTGACATTGCTGTTTATTTTTTATCTACAATTTGATATTTTCATATTTATTATAAAGCAAGTTCATATAACATTGACAATGGCTTTCTAACTAAACAGGTTATCATCGATGGAGTAGGAATCTTTAATCTTTGCCTTGGAACAAATTTTATTTCAAGTGGATTTCTTCATTCCTCTCTTTATTTTTTGTTGGAGAATCTCAGTTGTTCAAGTTACCAAGTTAGAAATGCTGCAGATTCTGTTTTGCATATAGTTTCCACCACATCTGGCTATGAAATGGTTAGTTTGTAGTCACGACGATTCATTTCCTAATTTTTTATGGGACAACTATTAACTTATATAGTGTATGCATTTATCTAGGTTGGACAGTTAGTTTTGGAAAATGCAGACTATGTGGTCGATTCAATATGTCGACAATTACGTCATTTGGATGTCAATCATCACGTGCCAAATGTGCTAGCATCTATTCTTTCATACATTGGAGTGGCTCACAAGATATTGCCCCTACTGGAGGAACCAGTACGGTTGTGTCTTTTTTAAATTTTAATTTTACACTGCTTTAATGTTAAAAGCATGGCTCTTGCTATTTAGTATTGATAGTTGTATATGTCTTGTCATTCTTTTAACTCTACTGCCTTTGTTTGTAAAGTCCCTTGTATATATGCAAATAAAAGAATTACCTTCCAACATGTTTAGGCTTGATTATGTTCTAATGACGTGGTATTGAACAGATGCGTTGTGTGTCAATTGAACTCGAAATATTGGGTAGACATCAACATCCTGATTTAACTATACCGTTCTTAAAGGTTTGTTGCCAGTTACCCTCTCTCCCCTTCTTTCTTTCTTTCTTTCTCATTATGATCATGTACGTAACTTTAGTCTAAAGATGTCTTATTTCCTTGTTTCAAGGATTTTACAAGTATTTTCTAACATTAAGCCAAGCATGTAATTATCCAAACCCATTTATACCATGATAAGTAACCCTAATATTCTCACAGCAACCTGCCCTGTCTCTCTATATTCTTGTCGGTGATATGGTAATTAGCAAATTATTTCATACTGTCATTGAACCCAAATTTAACACAGCTCTAAAACTTACATATTTACCAGTTTCTTGCTTTAGGAATATCTGGCTATTCTCTTGCTTATATTCCCCCTTTGTTAGAAGAAAAATATATCGATTCTACAATCAGTAAGTTGTCTGTAAATTGGTTGGTTTTAGGCAGTAGAAGAAATAGTGAAGGCATCGAAACGTGAAGCTTGTCAGTTGCCCCCTCAGGCAGAGTCATTTTCCACCGATGTCAGGTCTACAATCTCCATTGCAGAAGAAGCAACACAAGGTTCAGTATCACAGTCCATTTTTATATGGTTGGTTTTTGTATTTATATTAGAAATTTGATAATGAATTTTGACATGGAATACAAAATTCATCCTTCACTTCTAGCAGTCTCTAATGTATGTAGTTCACCTCTGGGCACCTTCAATTGCATGCTATCAGCTTCCTTCCTCCACAGTGGCTTGTTAAATAAAAGTTTCCTTTCAGTTGCATGAGTACACCACACAGCTCATGATGCAAAAACGACATGCTTCCTACTTCAAGTTAAAAATTTGATAATAGTTTATTGAGAATCGAGAGAGAGTGATTGATTTGTATGTGTATCTGAAGTTGTATTCTAAATTTTAGATGATTATAGATGTATTTATAGACAAACCAAAGCTTACTAAACAAGCTTTACAACCGTAACAGAATATAACAGAATCCTAGCGTAGAGGAAGCTCACTAATGTTAAGCGAGCTTTACAATCAACTACCATTCATTTATATGACATTTAATATCTTTCACCGTGCTTATTATACAACTCTACAATAGGACTTATATGACATTTATCAATCTACCAGATTTTGTGAGCCTTGTCTTGTAGTGATGTTGCTTCCTTGATTCATACTGAATGAAGTATTTTTCTTGTAGATCAGTGGGAGGCCATTTCATTCAAGTTAAATAATTCTAGAAGATATAGACGAACTGTTGGTTCTATTGCTGGTTCATGTATTACTGCTGCAATCCCTCTTCTAGCATCGTTTAGGCAAGAGATATGCTTAGCTTCTCTGGATATAATTGAGGTATGCTTTGGATGAAAATGTTTTTACGTTTCCAACATTGTAGCAACTAGCGTGAATATGACGTTTTTATACTTCCAACTGGTGTTTTGGAAAGTGCTTGTCAGTTATTGTTTTCTTTTATGAATAGATTTATTTTGTTATTTCTTCATTGATATTGGGATCTTCCTTGTTTAGAGTGGCCTGTTGGCATTAGCAAAAGTAGAAGCAGCTTATAAAGTCGAAAGAAATATTAAAGAAGCCATGGAAGAGGCGCTAGAATCACTTTCACTGTGTTACCTAAAGGATACTTTGGAGGCTACTGAAGACGGGGCTGATGAAAACAGGCTGCTTCCAGCAGTGAATAAAATATGGCCATTCCTTGTTACATGTATTCAAAACAGGAACCCAGTCGTGAGCAATCCATTTTTCATGTTCATTTCTTGTGAATTATCTTGTGACATTTCCTTCATGGTCTCGAGACTAAAAAATACTTACCAAATGGAATTGACAGGCTGTCCGGAGGTGTTTGAATGTGATCAGCAATGTAGTACAAATATGCGGTGGAGATTTCTTTACACGCCGCTTCCATACTGATGGAACACACTTCTGGAGACTTCTGACAACATCCCCATTTCGTAAAATGTCCAATTTCAAAGATGAGAAGACCCCTTTACAACTCCCTTATAGAAGCAGTTCTGTTAATTCAGAGGATTTGTTGGCAGAGACTTCTTATCTGAAAGTTCAGATTGCTGTGCTTAACATGGTTGCAGATTTATGCAATAATAAGAGGAGTGCCACAGCATTAGAACTTGTTTTGAAGAAGTTATGCGGCTTAGTTGTAGGGATAGCTTGCAGCAATGTTGTTGGACTTCGCGATGCTGCTTTAAATGCTCTTCATGGACTTGCATCTATTGATCCAGATCTTGTATGGCTTCTCTTAGCTGATATGTACTACTCTGTAAAGAAGAAAGATGCTTTGCCTTCTCCACCTAGACCAGATTTACCAGAGATCTCTGAAATCATTCCTCTTCCCTCATCTCCCAAAGAATATCTATATGTGCAGTATGGGGGACAGAGTTATGGGTTTGACATAGATTTAGCTTCTGTTGAGTTTGTTTTCACCAAGATTGATTCTCTATATCAAATGTATAGCTGAGATCCGTATTTGCACATATAACCTTATTTCTGTTTTCTTTATCCCTTGACTAATTTAATTTGGATTAGAATTTAAACAGTATATTTTTTAAACTTGTGGTAAGATTAGATTACATATTGTTAGAAATGACAACATTATAAAGAGAGTTGGGTAACATTAAAAGAGGGTAAAAACTAGCTTGGATAGTTTGTACATGTAGAGAAAGGGTTTATGAATTTTGTCATAAGGATATATCAATAGAAAAGAATTATTAAAAGAAAAAGAAAAATTATACAGAAATTACAATGGAAATCATTAAAATATCTTGATGAGGTTAATGATTTGAATATAAGTAAAATCTTTAGTAAAACATTATGACATTGTCTGTTCCATTTAGTCACATTCATTTGATGGGATAAAATTTGATTGTTATATGATAAAAAGTGTTAAATTTCAAGTGTTGTAAAACACGTAAATCAATTTAAATAAAAATTGCAAACCGATCTGAAAAATTGAAAACTGCAAAAAAAAAAAAAAAATTATTGAATGTGTTTGGATATTATTTTGTAAAAACTGTTCGGTTCGGATCAGATTTTAAATTGATTTTATATTTATATACTTATTTATTTTTTATTAGTATGATATATTACATGAATTTATTATTAAATGAATTTATTATTAGATGATAATTATTTTTTTAATGATATTTATCATCTTGGTTTAATCTATTTATTTTTGTTATTTCAATCCTAAGCGGCCACTCTCATTTTGTAATATAAACTTTAATATACTATATGTTATATCTTATGATTTATTAGTATTTTTATAATATTAATAAAAATATAAGTTATAATTTGGATATCCAAAAACTGATTCAAATTAAACCGTATTAAATTGGATTGGATTGGATCGACCGAACTAAAACGCAAGTAAATTTATCTTTGGATCAGATGAGTTTTTGCCTTAAAACCGATTCAAACCGAACCGCGAACACCCCTAAGTGGAACACACCCCTGAAAATTCCAAAATACCCTTGAGTTTATTCGGAGATATATTTTCAAACGCACTAACTTTTAATTTAAAGTAAACTTTAGTTCGAAGATGCAACTGCGAACTTTTCTGAGTTAAATTCGCAGATACATCTTTAAAGTCGTAAATCAGTGAGCCACCTCACTTTTGAAAAAAAATAGTTTGGAGATGCATCTACGAATATTTCTGGAGTAAATTCTGAGATGCATCTCCGAAGTCTAGCCCACATGTTTCTTGTGCAGAAATATTATATTGAGTTTGTAGTTTTATGAATCCATAGTAATTTTACTTCGATAACATTGTTATTATTTGTTTCAAAGATTAATAAACACGAATATCATAGAATATAGTAATGCGTTAATTAAAAAGAAAGACAACCATAGTACAAAAATAGTTCTCAAAGTATAAAAAAATATATCAAAATATCTCAAAATACAATCAAATGCATAATCTGCTGAATATGCCTAAATCCTAACACCTGGACTCCTCCTCTACTTATGGCAACCCAAGACATTTTGTGCCTCAGTAAGAATGGAACGTGCTAGGCAATCGCTTCATCGCCACCTCTCTTTAACAGATCGACAACACATCAACGACATGGTCATCCATGACATGCTCATTCTCCAGGATCTCCTCACGAGCAGGTCTAGGTGGACGTCCAAGAGCGTCTGGTGTCATGACAATGTGTGACATAAAAAATAACCAAGTCATATAACGGTCCACATAAGACTAATGATTTGTGGCTTCGATCTTCTGATTAGGGATGACAAAAAAATCCGTACCCGTAAATATCTGTGGATAAAATTCATCATGAATACGGGGTGGATAACTTAATAGATATCCATGGATAAAATAAATGGATATTTAAATACCCGTTTCGTAATAGATATGGATACGAGTTTAACGATACCATGTCTGCGGATATCCGTATCCATTAATAAATTATAAGAATTACTTAAATATTAATTTATTATAGTATGTCTTCTCAACTTCTAAAAACCTAGTTTAAAAAAAAAAGTTTTCTTTGAAGAAAATCTTTAACATTCCATATAAATCATATTGGTTGTTTCATATTTAAGTTTTTTCTTTACTCCATACCTCACGTCAACAATTCCACCTTCCAACCAACCACTTTCTCTGTCCAACTAGTGTCTTCCTTTCTACTTCTTTGTTGTTCGTTCTTTCACCATAACTCACAATCACATTATTTTTCATTTTTTAAATGAAATGTATGGATATTATGTTTTGGTGAAAATGAAGAAAATTAATGTGATTAATTATTTTTGTTAAAATAAGAGAGATTTGTATGGATGTTATGTGATAATAACTTATTGTGTCTTTAAAAGAAGTTGAAAATATTTTTTTTTCAAAAAAAAGAAAAGAAAAAATGTTATCCATGGATATCTAAAAACCCTCGAATGATCTGTATAGTGAATACCCGCACAGATATGGGGCGAATATGAATATCATACTTATTCAACGGGGCAAACACATACATTATAATATCCGTACCCATGGATATTCATTTACATCCCTACCTATGATACTCTTCCGGTACCATATGACTCTCAAGATCTTCCAGAATGTCATTTAGATGTCTGCAGACAATGGTCTCAAGAGAAGCTCTGAAGGGGGACCGTGGAATTATCTGCTCGTATCAAAATTTACGCATGCACTACTCTGGAAGACACCTGCACATGATACTACTCCCATGTGCCATCCATAAGGAGTATAACGAAATATGGTCGAACATAATTTTGTTCCAGTGAGAACTATATGGTATCCAGTCGATGTCATCATGTTGAGTCCGGTCAATATACACACATAACGGTGCCACACCGTCATTCCCTTTGCATGGATGATATAAACAAGCACGTGGGTAATCCTTAATATATCCACACACAATCAAAATCATGTATACGGTGAAAGTAGGCAATGATCCATCCCTGAAAACGAATGAGAAAAAAATATTAGTAACAAGTGTGAAAAAAGTTGATGATATAAAAACATTAGTAAAAAGTGGAAAAAAACATAGTAACAAGTATGGAAATTACCGCCAACTGTGTGCAAGAGGTTATCATTTTATTTGTCCTCCAAATAGAACCTTCGCTCAACTTGAAGTATAGGTATACCAAGCATCCCCCACCCCCACCAATTAAACTTGTGAATTGTCGTCAAGTCCATGAAATACTTGAGATATGCCACATTCACGTATGTTGCACTGTCCACAAACATGGATGTCCTAGCCAAGAATAGAAAGAAACACCTCAATGCACACTCCATGTGGTAGCCAACCTGTAGATTATCGCTGTCGGGATCATCAGTCAAATCCAAGTTGTTTTGATATAGCATCTCCAACCAAGAAAACTTAGCATGTGCACCCCTGGTGTTCTCAGACCGTATCAGGGCTTCTATTGGGTCAGCTCCTAAATAAATCACCATCATATCCACTACCTCATCGCGTATGATCCTAGAATGATAAACTAACTTTCCTCGGATGGGAAGGTGTACGAGGCAAGCGACATCATCTAATATAGTCGTCATCTCGCCAATGGTATGCCATCTCTTAGAGAATGTCTCCTGCATGTCATGGCTGATGATGCTATAGCTGGAAGAAGACACACCGACAAGACATGAGTACCATATCACACTTAGGAACCACTCTTGGTGTGGCTGAGAAATTATGTGAATCTTTCTGACACGATTAACAGATTTCAAACACTCGTGTTCCTGTTAAAAAGATAATATAACAGGCTCAAACGAATTTGAATTTGGTTAAATTATAAAAATAAGAACCGTTAAGAAATATACCACTCCAGTCCAGACATGCGAAGAAACATGGTCTCTAAAATATATCAATAACGACGTGTCAGTGGAACCTCCTGGAAAAGGGTTTGCGAGTGGAGGGAGATCATCACGTGCAACGGAAGCCTCATCTTCATGGTGTACACAAGTCTGAGATGATAACCCATGTAATAGTCGGCTCCTAGAACCCGATGCTTCCCTATCGTAAGGCCTAGGGATGGCTCCCCCCGTACCTCTGGCATGCTGATGCTGAAGAGCCCTCTCGCGGTAAGTGGACGCGATTAGGGTTTCACGATCGAGTCTCATCTTGTTGTTGTTTGCAACCATTATCCTTGAAAAAACATCTAAAAAAGAAATTAGTGCATCAGGAAGGAAAGAAATTTGGAGATGCATCTCCAAACAATAGAAATGACCCAGTTCAGAGACGCATCTCTGAAAAAGTTTCGTTTTCTATTTCAATGGTAGAAACATCCCCTGCACTTGCCCTAACCATCCAAAAATCATCCAAATCATCCAAACGCTACTACACATTACCTATTTGGAATGCTAATATTACCTAATGAATTAAAAGTTACTTATTTTACCTAATACATAAATCAAAACTCAAAATAAGCTAAAAAGAGAAATTTACTCGAAAAAGTGTTGATGAGAATGCAAAATATTGAATGTAAAGTAGGTAAAGTGAGATGAGATTGTTAAGATAGAAGTAGATATTCTTATGTTGATACTGGAACAATGTTTCTCACCAGTGGAGAAAAAAACTTTCTAAAAATGAAGAATGCAAAAAGGATGAAAATGGAGAAGGATAAGAGGGAGAGTATGGCGCGAGGTTTAAATATGTTTATATAGTTCGGAGATGCATCTCCAGATGAATTTTTTTTGTTTAAAAAAATATTAATTCGGAGATATATTTGTGAATATATCCTAAAACACCTTCATAGACGCATCTCTGAATTAACCTTTAGATAAAATGAATAAATGGTGCGTTTGAAGATGTATCTCCAAAAGTTATGAGATATTTTTGACATTTCACCAGAGGATTGGTAGAAAGTAACTGGGTGCAAAAAAAATCGCAAAAATTATAGAAATGATTTGTTTTCCGAACTACTTCTAATCTTTAGGCTCATAATATTATAAGAGAAAAAAGACGAGGACTTTAAAAAAACAACAATGCTATGTTTACACTC